AATTACAATTTGGATTCCGATTACAAAAGAGACGGAGAATGAATTTGATTCTCCCTTTGTTTAAAACTGGGTTTCTTCACGGTGGCGATGAGATGCCTCCCTCGAATGCTCGCATCGAGTTGCTTCTGCGTTGACGATTCGAACGTCTTGATTCACTGGAACGTGGTCTTCTCCCTCACGATTTGACGCCTGTGGAGAACTTGCGTGGCAAGTTTGAAAATAACTCTTAACGAGTTGATAACTCTGAACGAGTTTTAGAAGAAATTGCAGAGCAAGTTTTGAACTCTGATCGAGTTGATACATCTGAAATGAGTGATAACTCTGAACGAGTTTGAACTCTATGGAAGCAGTTGATTTAAACGCGAAAGTTCGGTTAAACAAGGCCAAGGAAGAAGCCTCCTGATTTTGAGAGGAATACAAGTCAAATTTTTCTTTCATTGTCTTTTTACTTCAAATTTCCTACAAACAGTGGTGTGGTGGACGTGGCTGATAACCGTGCATGCCAGATCCTTGGGATAGGAAGAATTCGCATAAAAATGTTTGACGGGACTGTTAGGGAGTTAAATGATGTGAGATATATTCCTTCTTTGAGGAAGAACTTTATCTCAATTGGAGCTTTGGTTGGAGAGGGTCTGAATGTTCGAATTGAGGACATGGTTCTCAAGATTGTGGAAGACTCTCGGATTGTGATGAAGGGCGTCAGGAGGAATAACCTGTATTACTTGACTGGAGGTATAGTGGCAGGTGGAGAACTGGCGATTTCTATTGATTCGACTAGACTGCGGCATTTGGGGCTTGGTCATTCCAGTATTGATTCCTCGCATAGATTAAAAGAGGGTGCGAAGACCTACAGTTTGAAGTCCAGTGAACATGTTGAAGTGAGCAAGAAGACCGAGGTGAAGTTTGGCACCTCTATTCACCGTGCTAAGGGTCGTTCTAAAGGAGTTCACGTGGATGTTTGGGGGCCTTCCAAGGGGGCATCATTGGGAGGTAATAGAAGTTTAGTTTCCCTTGTTGGTGGCTGTTCTAGGCGTGTTTGGGTTGCAACCAAATCCCCGTAAGGATAAAGTCCTAGTAGTCTTTAACAGTTTGAAGAAGTGTATGATTGGCAGAAAGGTGAAGGTACTTCATTTTGGTGAGAGGTACAAGATGGACCTGTTTCTGTATTGGAGCCGAACTCACGGCATTTCGAGACACTTCGTTAGAAAGGAAATCTTGGGGCAACTAGATAGGGTGGCAAATTCGGAGAACCGTGCCTTGCTGGAGGAGGATCGGTGTTTGTTGTTAAGCAATGGTCTGCAGAAGAGTTTCTGGACAGAGGCTTCGACATATTGGGTCATCCTATTAAAGAGTTGTCAACTGCTGTGATTGAAGGTAAAACTCCATTGGAAGATAGGTCTGGTAGTGTCACTTTTGTTGAGGCTTCGATGAGGAAGCCAATTGACTCTCAGCAGGTAGAGAGTTTTGGACAGACCTTAGAGGTATCGCAGCGGGTGGAGATTGATGCTACTCCACATTGGGTAGGGATTTTCCCTCATACTCCAAGTCATTCTGCATCGCTTGGGATTCCAGCTGAGGTGACACAGCATGGGAGTCATTTGGATTCGGATGCAGATGATGAGTTGGGTTTTGAATCGAGTGCAGCTGGTAGACATAGTTTGGATATGGCCAGTGGTTCACCTCAGGTGGAGGTGTTTGAGGCTATTGGAGGTGCTATCAGTCGCAGACTTGATGATGATATTGGAGAAGGGTTGCGAACTCTTCTAGTGGATTGAGGCCTTTGGCGACCATTTGGGTGAACTACGTTCGGCTTGATTCTTTGGACAAGAGGATACGTAGGCAGTCTTTACGATGCAGCCGGGTTTGGATTTTGATGGGGGTGAGACCGATTTGGTGAGTAGACATCGACGTTTGGAGAGTAGTCACATTCTCGTCTTGGGTCTCAACTTGTTGTGGATTGAGTCTGTTGTCGTGAATCGTTCACTTCGTACTGGACGCAACAAGTGAGGCATTTGTTTTTGTTGGTGTCGGCTCAGTTTTGAGAAAACTTCACCGAGGTAGAGAATTGTTGGAAGCATGCTTGTGGGGGCCACACGAGTACAGTAAGCTACCATGTAAAGTGATAAGAGGCTAAGGTTTTTTAAAAACCACGTGAAGAGATGCTTGTGGGGGCCACAAGCTTTGGAGAATTGAAAATGTCCAGCGGATTTTTGAAAACCACGTGAAGAGATGCTTGTGGGGGCCACAAGCTTTGGAGAATTGAAAATGTCCAGCGGATTTTTGAGAGGCACTTGTGATTAGCTTCGGTTTTTTGGACAAGGCCCACCCGATTGCCTACATAGCCTGCATCCTATAAAAAGGACTTTTGTCCTAAGGTTTCTTGGGTGAAAAGGAGGCAGGTGTGCAAGTACGAAAAGGGGAGAAAAAACTGTTGTGTGCAGAGTGCAAAAGCAGAGAAAAGGCGGCTGTGTTGAGAGAGAAAAGTAGAGCCGAATTTGAGAGGGGTTTTTGCATTCTTTTGAGAGATTATTTGTGGGTTTAGATTTGAGAGATTGTAAACCCTATTTGTATTCTCTTTCCCTTGCCGAACCACGTAAAATTGGTTTGTTTGAGTTTGTGGCCATTGTAATAGTTTTTTAGGATCCCTCGACGCGCAGTCCTAGAGCTGACGAGAGGAAGAGCTAATATCTCACTTTGATGGGATATTAGGCTTCAGATTCTTGTTCCCTTTGAGAAACAAGAATTCTTATCGATCTTTCTCTCTTATTGTGCACCAGAAACTCTGCCAAAATTTCCGCTGCGCACAACAAATTGATTCTCGATATTTCAGTTCTAAAAAGAGAATTTGAAAGTCAGTAACTTCAGAACTGAAGCAGTGGAAACTGGGTCTAAAACGAAAAAACCCTTCCCTATACACAAATGGGTGTTTGACTGCAAATAAATTCACTCGTTCCGGATTGTTAAACTTGGTCCAAGGATGCAGTTAGGTGAGTCATTAATTTAGATGCCCTTACGGAGGATTTCAAGCATAGCCTTGCCAAGAGAAATAAACTCATTCAGAATCAAGTCATAAACTCGATGGGCCAAACTAATCAACATGCAGCCAGTATTAACTTCCAGTATTTGTTTCTACAGGAAATCAACAAACACACGGCACTCAGAGTGATAATAAAAAAATAAAAATATTGCCCATGAATAGATTATCTGTATGATGAAGACGTGTTCACTTAGATTGTTTATAATGTGCATTTTGCTCCCCTGTGAAATTAGGTTCGATAGACTGTAAACATAGCATAAATCATGCTTATCATTGATAAGAATATTTTTTTTCTACAGTGCATGAAATGGATCGACCATTTCTCAATGCATATTTTGATTCTCTTGGAGCTCCTAGTTTTGAGAAGGGTTGCAATTTCGCTGCAGCTGGATCGACGGTACTCCCAGCAGCAGCATCATCTGTCAGCCCATTTTCCTTTGGGATTCAGGTTGCTCAGTTCGATCGATTCAAACAGAGGACTCTCGAATTGCTAACAGAAGGTATAGCCAGTTTCTGTTGGGCGTGGGATGTGATTAGATTTCAGCATACCATAAAGAACTTCTTTGCTCTGTTGCAGGAAAGAAATTTAAGAAATATGTTCCTCATTCTGATTTCTTTAGTAAAGGACTGTACATGTTTGATATCGGCCAAAATGATCTCGCTGGTGCATTTTATTCTCAATCTGAGGACCAGGTTTTGGCTTCTAGTCCGACAATTCTGTCAGAGTTTGAGACTGGACTTAAGGTCGTGCAGTTACTCTTAAAAATTCAAAGTTGGAACTTTTGGTTGAAGTAGACTAGTTCTTAATTATAATTTTTTTTTACTTTTTTTGTCACTTAAGTCTAACATTAGTACCTCTATTTTTTCTTCAATATATGACTTTAATTTAATTGGCTCAATTTTCATTATAGAAATTGTATGATCAAGGTGCAAGGAAATTTTGGATCCATAATACCGGTCCCCTTGGTTGCTTACCTCAGAACATAGCTCTATTTGGTAAAGATCCATCGAAATTGGATGAGTTTGGATGCGTAAGCGCTCACAATCGGGCTGCTAAGCTTTTCAATTTACAGCTTCATGCACTATGTACAAAGTTACAGGGTGGATTTGGAGATGCAAATATCACTTACGTCGATATCTTCTCTATAAAATCTGACCTCATAGCAAACTACTCTAAATATGGTAACATTTTCATTCATGATTTCATGTTTTCTTGCATTAGAAAGGGAAGCAGATGGGGAAAATTACACCACCCCCAAAAAAATCTTCCTGTGATTTGTAGGAATGACTAATTGCATAAATATTTTCTTTCAGGATTTGAGAATTCTACGGCAGCATGTTGTGGATATGGAGGTCCACCTCTCAATTATGACAGTCGAGTTGGTTGTGGGCAAACAAAGATTTTGAATGGAAGTTCGGCAACAGCAGAAGAGTGCAGTGATGCTACTGAGTATGTTAACTGGGATGGAATACATTATACAGAGGCTGCAAATATGCATGTTGCATCGCAAATACTCACTGGAAAGTACTCTGATCCTCCATTCTCAGACAAGATGCCATTCCTTCTCAGACTCAAGTTCTAAAAGATAATAATTTTTTCCCCTCTCCCCACTAATGTATTACTGATAAATGAATTACTACCATGTTATAGGATCTATACCCAATAATGTATCACTGATAGGAAAGTTAAAAACATATGGGGGTGAGAACGAAATTTAATGATTAATAGGTATGTGCATGTATGTTTTCTGCGGATGAATAACAGTATATCCTTGGTTCTAACAATTGTTCTTTTCTCCTGTGCTGTTATTTGACTTACAACATTCTCACACATACTCTCAATGGAAGCATGAATCCTTTAAGATTGTCAATCTAGTGCAAGCATCAACGTGCACGCTTGCGCATCTGTCGCGTGCTTGTGTGAAAATTGTGCATGACAAAATGTTACTTTGATACTCGGCGGTTGGGTATCAAACACACTACTTTGAGTATTGAAAGGTGGTTCATATTAGATTTAAATTGAGATTTTATTATAACTTAAATTATGTACATGTTAGCACAATAGAGGTACATATAGGTCAAATTTATTTGTAAAAATTGAATGCCGTCGTCTTCTACATGTTTTTATATGCTGGCAAAATCCCAAAGAAACCTTAATCAATATTCATATAATTCAAAATTATCTGTCTTTCCCCAAAACTTCTCAAATAGTATCTCTTCATAAGAATATGAGTTGTTTTTACAAAAATAACCTGCATTCTAACTCCCAAAAAGAAAAAAAAAAAAAGTTAAAAAGAGGAGATGAGGGAAATTGGAGGGAAATCGAGGTTAAGGGGCATTATGAGAAAAAATTTCTCTTGTATTTTGATTGGTTGGTTTGGTTTGAAATTGGTCTAGGGAGGCAAGGCAAAGTTTACTAGTAGCGCCCACTAACAATTTTAGGCGGGGAGGGTATTTTCGTCTATCTGCCACGGGTACTTAAATGACTAAAATGCCCTTCATTTCGCTCTCCTTGCTGATTCCTATTTCTCGAGATTTTGGTTCATTCAAGGAGAGACCCTTGCCCTTGTACTGCAATATTCGGGGAATGTGAAGTGGCATCAAAATACAATGGCCATTGATCTCCTTTTCTTCTCCTCAACCTCAAGAATCCCATCTCCAAACCCTAACCCTAGCCCTGAATCCCCATCTGATTTCGAGCCAGTTTGTGGTGCTAATTCCAAAATGGGATTAGCAAAACGAAATATTGGTTCCAGTTCTTTGGAGATGGATTCTCGACGCGTATCTTCATGGAGCTCGAGGTATAATAATGCAATGAAAGTCAATTTTATTGGTAGAAGATAATAGTTTTAGCCTAGTTGTTCAAATGGGCCACGTAGATTATGCGATCTCTTATTGGTCCCTGAATCCACATTTTTCATGCATAAATATGATTTGGGTGTTGCTATAGGAACCGGACCCAAGGCATGGGACGGGCGATGTGTCACCATCCGGTTGCATGATGCACTATTCATGAATAGTATATCATGTAACCGGACGGTGACACCTCACATGTTCCATGCTTTAGGTCCCTTATTTAGGTTCTTGAGACATTAATGATATGATTTAGCAAAGATTTTGGATGATGTTAATAGTTTGGATTCGGATGTATTTGGAGTTAGAAAGATGACTAAAATGATTGGAAAATGATTTAAGAACCCAAAATATGGGACAAAGGAGGGGACATGTGATGTGTCCCCTCCCTATTGCATAATGAGTTGGCCATAATGAGTTGGCATGGCCAACTCATTATGCAATAGGGAAGGGAAACCTCACCTGTCCCCTCCATTGGTCCCATATTTTGGGTTCCCGTAGCAGCACTCAAAATTATTATATCTCACTTTTGGCATATGTTTATTTCCAGATGCTATAATAGAATAAAATGTCTTTTACACTGAAGAGATAATCGCATTATATGTGAAGACTGGTACATGTTTTTTTTTCTGTATTCATTCTGATTAGAATGTTGTTCCTAGGACGGCAATGCAGGATTGTGTGTATTGTGACAGTAGTAAAACAAAAAACATTTTGCTGTTCTTTCCTACTGTTTTTTTCATAGGAATTCCTTGGCTTAATTAGCTGAGTTTAGTTTCATGTGTATGGAATTTTAGTTATTGTTTACGTGTCTCATTTTGTTAATTTAGTCCTTTGCTCGGTAACTAATAATTTAACCAAGGCTTAGTTGCACTTTGGTACCTCAATGTCACTTAAAATATAATTTAACCAAGGCTTAGTTGCACTTTGGTACCTGAGCGTCACACGATTTGAACCTTAATACCCCAAACTTTTTTTTTCCTCCTTCCCCAAGTTGGTTTTTCATCATTAATGTATTGGAGATTAATTGATATTTGAAAATAAGCCCCCAAAAACTGAGGCCTCACATGAACCCTTAGAACCCAAACGTTCCTCATTCTCAATTTTTTTGACCTGGTTCTCCCTTGAGATCCCAAAATTTCTCCTTTGAGATCCAAAAAGTCTGCTAATCTTCAACCCTATAAGTCCTCCAAAGTTGCTCAAATCCTTTAGAAATCTTGACGGAACTCCTTAAGATCTTGCTTTTTTTTCGCCGGAAAGTACAAAAATCTGAAATTCGGTTCACTGTAAGGTAGCGAAAAAACTATTACTCTTGAATTTTACCATAGCAAATTGGAATAGAAGTATTTCTCCTATCCAATATCCCTTTTCAGAGTTCAGAGCAGTGAGGATTAGAATTATGGGTATGGAGTTGACGGCTTTGGGTAAGAAGATGATGATGGAGGTAGAAGGGTGTATTTGTCCAAATAAATCTAGTTTTAACTGCAAAATAAATGGTCCTCTTCAGGGTATCAACATGCAATTTTCTGAAACTTTGGACTACCAAATGGGCAAAAAAAAAATGGGGGTTACCAAAGTTCAAAATGGGTTAATTAGGATACCAAAGTGCACACAAGCGTTATGTTATTTATTGAACCAAATGAACAACAAGCCAAAATTTCTCCATCAACCACTCATCCATGCAATATTTGATTATAAATTATTACAAAACTCTTCGCGAAATTTCTTTAGCATAAAAATAGTTAATGATTCTATGTATAAGAGTTGTCAATCGTATAACTGGTTATACTTGCAACCCTTTACTATTGGAGAAGTCCAGAAGGGGAGTCGTCTAGCATATTTGTTTGCAATTTTCTTCTTTTCAGTAAAAAAAAATCTATAGCTATGTGTACTTGATATGGTATACTCTGAAAATAACACCATAAACATGATATTCATCAAATCTACCAACACAACAGCAAGAACATTGCATAAACACAAACATGCTATATCTCAGTTCTTATTTCTTTGTGTTCATAACGAATCCTGCAATTACCCTTAACCGATATTTGTGCTCCGATGGTATCAGCACATTCCTTCTAGATAATGTCAGTCAATGTCCCAAGGCAAAAAGAGCAAACTCCTTCAGGAGTCTTTTGCTGCATTGGGCAATACCGAAGACCTCAGGCTCGAGCAATTTGTCCTCGACAAGCTCACCATTGAAGACCGTAGCTTTGAATTGTAGGCGCGCGTGAGAGGATATCTGCAATGTTGCGAGCACCCATAGTGCCCCGTGTGTACTTTAGGTTATTGCAGGTATATACAGCAGGGGCATTTGGGTCAAATTGTGCATCTGAACTCAGTGCCAGTGTCATCGCAACAATGAAGAAGAAGGCAATCATCCTCATTGTTGAAGAAGCCATCTCTAGTATTTGTTTTATTTTCTTGCTTTTGTTTGCTATATGTCTGCAGGTAAGAAGTATAAATAGGCAGTAGGGGAGTAACTAAAAATATTACTTATCGTCTTGAATGGGCGATATGATGTGTATGTTTGTTTACAAATTAGGAACCACAAGTATTTGTAGCTTCTTGATCAATGGTAAGTACTTTTGGCTATTATTGATTATGTGACGCAGCTGGCCTTTATTAATACAATAAATAGTGTAGGAGTTTGACTAAGATTATGGCTTGTGGGCTGATGACTGAAATTAGATAGAATCTCGAACTCTCAAAATGGAACCTGAACAGTCCATGCTGGAAATTCGGAAGGTATTGTCGACAATTCAGAAGGTACTATTCACTACTTAATGTAGTTATATTTACTTCCTGGAAATTAATATTCTTCTAGCTGCAAAGGCCAAAGATATTACAGATTTGGGATCTCTAAAAGAGGCAGCCAAAATTTTATTCCTTACAGACATCAAAAATATTCTTGGAGAAACTTCTACTTGTGTTGAGTTACTTCCCTTTCACTTTGTTGTCTTTATGACACAAGTGTAAATCATTTTTTCAAGGAGTTCCAAATTTATGTACTGCTCATGCAATTTTGTTAAAGAAGAAAAGGTTTCAGGTTAATGTATGTCGCGTAAACATGAGCATTTTCTGTATTCCGGTTCCAATTTGTACTTTGAATTTGGATTCATAATCAGTTATAAATATATTCAGGTCTTCTGGGGGAAAAAAGAATCGATAATATACGAAATCGGCTAATAATTCTTGCTTTAGAAGGTAAATTTTATATGACAGCAGACGTTCATTGAGAGTGTTAGAGATAAAAAAGGTTTCATGCTTTTATCCTCTCTCCTATTTATGAGTCTAAACTCCTCATCCTGTCATCCAAAATCATTATTCTGGAAGAAGAATTCATACTAAATTATCTAAAAGTAGAGGATTCATTTGTGCTTACAAAGGTTGTCTACTTCCAGGAGTCGCTACTATTATTTTGGAATTGATGGTCAGCATGTGGCTTCACTTGTTCCTGTTAATGGTGGAGTATCTTCTTATTTTTCTTGTGTCTGCTCTTCCTTCTCTGTGCTGCTATGTGCTGGGAAGTGAACAATGATTTGGAATATTTTCTGCTCTGTGTCCATTAGGCTTGTGCAGGTATGTTATTCATGAAGATTATTAATAAAATCACCCGTAAATCTGCTGATAATTATGTTCTACTATTAGCAAAGTACAACCTTAAAAGTTCAATATTAAGGCTAGATTTTGGATCCAAATAAGCCCTCTTAGTTCTGATAATTATATTTCATGGATGAAATACTACCAGACTTCCCATTTAACGTTGGAGCTTAGAAAAATATAGACTAGTTCTACATTTGTAGCATTATTGAGGGCAAATGCGCTTATGCTACATGGTCAATAAGGCAAGTTTTCCTATTCATCAATTGGTAGCAAGGTACTTTGGCAAGTTCCTCTGCTGTTCATACATCTTGTAATTCACTCTAATTTAAAAGTAGTAGTTGTTTCTAAATCAAAGCCTTAATGTTATGCGAGGCTTTCCTTGTATCTGTGAGTTATCAGTTAAATTTTGCTTCTGCATCAAACTCTTTTTTTTCCTTAGATTTTTCTTTGTAAAGAGAGTAAATTTGAAGAATTTATGTGTAGTTGAGAAGATACTTGGCCACCCCCACCACCTCTTGTTCAAAGGAGAACTATGTAAAAAGATGTATGTTTGATTGGTGCAAAGTGGAGCTTTTTACCATGTACATTTGAATCAACTCAATGAGCATAAAACTTTAAATAAAAAAAATTACTTTTTTTGTTCTTGCTTCTTTTTTTGTAGGTATTGGAGATGAAGAGATTAAAACCTGAATATCTTAATAAGATTTTTCGCCACATTTTTCTTGCCATCATTATGTAAATGAACAATGTTAGCCTGACCACATTTTCTCTTTACAGGTAATAAAAAAGTACGATGCACTGGACTTATGCAAGAAAGATTGAATGCTGATCTCAACTAAGATGCTTGCTTGAGGATAACTAGATCATTTGTGACTGTCATTGTTGTGAAGTGTAGAAAGGATTTCTACTTTCTGAAAAAAAGAATGATAACAGAACATATTCCTGCTATTCGAGTCAAAATTTTGTCCAATTAAGTTTCAAAATGCATGTCCTTTTCCTGTCTGAAAAAAAGAATGATGACAGAACATATTCCTGCTATTCGAGTCAAAATTTTCTCCAATTAAGTTTCAAAATGCATGTCCTTTTCCTGTCTACATGCCAGTGTTTTACAAGCGAAAGGTGAGGTTAAGGTGATTCGGTCTTATGTTGCCTAAGGCGATAAGCGTTAAAAAAGGTGATCGTTTGAGTGAACCAAGACAATAAATATTCTAAAAATTCATAAACATTACAAATAATATGCAAATATCAACAGAGAGCAACAAAACAAAGTAATCACACCCAAACTTTCTAAGTCACGCATCTAAGAAATGTTGGGACAAACCCATGGCCCAATAGAGCAGGGTCGCAGCAATACTAGAGCAAATGTAGAGATAAAATAATAGACACAGATTTACGTGGTTCGGCACTTGATTGCCTACGTCCACGGGCAAGGATAGAAGAATCCACTATGAGGAGAAAACTCTGGAGTTACAATCTCTCTCTCTTTACAAGGAGAAACTTTCTCTAATTTTTCTCTCACACTCTTTTATATAAGAAGTTGTTTCTGGGATGAGTTTTTCTTAAGGTTTTGGAGCTTATTTATAGTGTTTTGAAAAAAACTATGCATAATAAAATAATAATAAATTACTATACATTTACATTATAATAATGATGTGGAGTCCGCTCCTTTATCCAAAGTCAAAAACTACTGCTGCATGTGGGCGGCTGGGCCTGGCTTTATTAGGCATCTTTCGGCTGACAATCTCCCACTTGAAGATTTGATCGAGTATCAATCATATCTTCACACCATTCTTTCTATCTTGCCATCTTCATGTTGCTTACGTCTCCGACAGACCACGAGAGGATTGACACCAAATAAATTTGTAAGTATTAACTGCTTTTGTTCAAAAATCGGTTAGGTTGTCTTTGGTGTGAATTTTCTGCATATCCACTGTTCCTTCTTCCACTTTCTCACGAACGAAGTGATACTGAACTCGAATGTGTTTGGTCTTTGAATGAAAGGCTAGATTTCTTGTCAAATGCAAAGCACTCTGACTGTCACAAAATAAAGATATCTTCTTTTGTTCATAGCCGAGTTCCTCCAGCACCATCTTCAAGCACATCGCTTCTTTACTAGCTTGTATAGCTGCTGCATATTCTGCTTCTGTTGTTGAAGTAGTCACAACTGACTATAGTTTTGAAACACAGCTTACAGCTCCGCCAGCGGGTGCAAATACATAGCTTGTGGTGGATTTGTTATTATCACGATCACCTACATAATCAGAATCAACATATCCACTGACAATAAAATCAGAGCCCCCATAACATAATGCAACATTTGAGGTTCTCTTAATATATCTTAGGACCCTCTTTACAGCATTCCAATGCTCTTTACCAAGATTCGTCATGTATTGACTAACCACTCCCACTGCTTGTGCAATGTCTGTTCTTGTACAAATCATAGCAAACATTAAGCTTCCCATCGCTAATGCATACGGCACTCGAGACATATCCATCCTCTCTTCTTCACTGCTAGGACTCATACTAGAGGATAATTTGAAATTAACAGGAAGTATGGTAGAAATTGACTTACAATCTTGCATGTTAAAACGCCACAAGATTTTGTTCAAGTAATTCTTCTAGGAAAGCCAAATCTTCCTATTAATTCTATCTCGGTAAATTTGCATCCCTAGAATCTTGTTTGCAGATCCTAAATCCTTCATTTCAAGCTCCCTAGCCAACTGAGCCTTTAATTCTTTGATACGATCTTTGTTGAGGCCTGCAACCAATATGCCGTCAACATACAACAATAAGATAACAAAGTTATTTTCACTAAACCTCTTGAAATATGCACAAGGATCTGAATTAAGTCTGTTGTATCCAAGGCTCATGATGAATGAATCAAATCTCTTGTACCAACACATTGGCGCCTACTTTAGACCATACAGAGATTTGTTCAATCTGCAAACCAAGTCCTCTTTTCCTTTTTCTTCAAAACATTTTGGTTGGAGCATGCAAATTTCTTCTTCAAGTTCTCCATGAAGAAATGTTGTTTTCACATCTAGCTGCTCTAGATGTAAGTCAAATATAACGCTCATAGCCAGAACTATTCAGACTGTTGTAAGTCGAATTATAGAAGAAAATATTTTATTAAAATCAATACCTTCTTTCTGAGCATATCCTTTTACCACCAATCTAGCACGATATCTCTCCACTTGATCATCGCCATTTCGCTTGATCTTGTAGACCTGTTTTTTTCCAACGGTCTTTCTTCCTTATGACAGTGACATAAGTTCCCAAGTCTTGTTCTTATGGAGAGCTTCAATTTCTTCCTGCATTGCTGCCATCCACAAAGATGCATTTGTGCCATTTATAGCTTCATGAAAAGTTGATGGCTCTCCATCTTCTGTTAGAAGACAGTATACAATATTACTCTCCGTAATATACTTCTAGTGTCAAGTCGGTGGTCTTCTCTCACGAGTTGACCTTCGAATTTCTGGAACCTCGGACTCGACTGATTCTTGTACATCATACTTCGGTGTTGCTTCAGAAGAATTCAGATTATCTTCTACCTGAACAGCTACAGTCTCTGAGTCCTTCCTCGAACTGCTTTCTTTCTCTTCACTTTGTAGTTGGTTCTCTACAAAGATAACATCTCTGCTGATGATAACCTTATGGGCAGTGGGATCCCACAGGCGATACCTCTTTACTCCATCAGCATACCCCAAGAATATGTATTTTCTGGATTTTGAATCCAGCTTTGTAATTTCTTGGTTACTCCATCAGCATACCCCAAGAATATGTATTTTCTGGATTTTGAATCCAGCTTTGTAATTTCTTGGGCATTGTACATTACGTACACTGGACTTCCAAATATATGCAAGAATATGTATTTTCTGGATTTTGAATCCAGCTTTGTAATTTCTTGGGCATTGTACATTACGTACACTAGACTTCCAAATATATGAAGGTTGGAATAATCAGCTGGCTTGTCAATCCACATCTCCATCGGCGTCTTCAATTGTATTGCAATTGATGGAGATCGATTCACCACATAACAGGTGGTTTTTACTGCTTCCGCCTAAAAAACTTTTTCCAGATTTTTAATTGCCAACATAGCTCTTGTTCTTTCCAACAGAGTTCTGTTCATCCGCTCTGCCACTCCATTTTGTTGAGGAGTATGAGCAGTGCTGAATTGTCTTTTGATGCCTTCATGCTTGTAGAATACTAGGAATTCACCGTCTGTTTATTCTCCTCCATTATCTGATCTCAAGCACTTGATCTTCTTCTCAGATTCAAGCTCGACCCACGCCTTGTAGGCTTTAAAGACTGAGAACACATCTGTCTTCTTCTTGATAGGATACACCCAACATCTCCTGGAGTAATCATCAATAAAGGACACAAAGTACTTTGCTCCTCCTAAGGATGTAACTGGTGCTTTCCATACATCAGAATGAATCAGTTCCAGAATAGCTTTGCTTCTAGAACTCAGTGTGTTGAACTTTAGACGATGTTGCTTACTAGTAACACAATGCTCGCAGAATGGAAGAGCTACTGAATTAAGTCTAGGAAGCAGTTTCTGATCGGAGAGAATCTTCAAGCCTCGTTCTGATATTTGGCCTAGTTTGCAATGTCACATCATGGTTTGTTCTTCTCCACAGCTGGTTGATGCCACACATGAATCAGCTTCCTGTAAGGTTTCTCCCATGAGCATGTACAGATTTACAGCTATTTTTTCTCTTTTTATTACCACAAGCGCCCCTCTAACAATCTTCATGATCCCGTTTTCTATATGGGTCTTGCACCCAAGCTCATCTAATTGTCCCAAAGATAATAGATTCTTCTTCAAGTCCTTCACATATCGTACATCTTGAATGGTGTGTATTGTACCATCAAACATTTTGATTTTGATAGTGCCAATACCAAAAATCTCCAAGGCATGATCATTACCCATGAATACAGATCCTCCTGAGATAGGTTTATATTTGTGAAATCATTCTCTCCGAGAGGTCATGTGTCAGGAGGTTGCTGAATCAAGAAGCCAGACATCAGCAAACCTCTTTCTGCCTTCATCAATAGTGGTTGCTCCACTGAATAGAATTTCAACATTGTCTGATATGCTGACAACGTATCCTTGAGATGTTGATGGATCTGAAGACTTTGTATCCCCACTCTTCTTATTGTGCCAACACTCCGATTTGACGTGCCCTCTTTTGCCACAGTTATAGCATTTGACATTCTTCTTACTTCTTGATTTGGATCTACCATGGGTATGACTCCCACTGGAGCCACGTTCCGTTGATCTTCCTCTCGTCACCGTTAAAGCCTCCGCTTGTTGAGAACTTGTCTGCCTGTCTTCCTTGTTCTTGCGTTGATTTTCTTCCTCCAGAATAGCGGCTGCAACATCGTCGAAGACTAGATTGTCTGTGAGGACGTTGTTTGTCAGGTTGATAATGAGTTGATCATATGAGTCAGGTAGACTCTGAAGTAGAAGTTCTGCACGTTCATTCGCACCAACTGTATACCCCAACGTTATGAGTTGGGAGAACAGTATGTTTAGGGTGTTGATGTGATCGGTCATCGATGTAGATTCCGTCATCCTAAGAGTGTAAAGTCTCCTTTTTAAGAAGATTTTATTGTACATGGATTTCGCCTCATATAGCTTTGTTAGAGTATCCCAGATCTCCTTTGCTGTCTTCTTCTCCTCTATGCTTGACAGCACCCCGTCTGCTAATGTCAGATGGAGATTCGCAATAGCATTTTTGTCCATCTCGTTCCACTTCTTATCATCTGTGATATCGTCCGGCCTTGCACTGATGGCCGCCAGGCAATTATATTTTCTCAAGATAGCCTTTATCTTTAACTTCCACAGTGAGAAATTACTCCCATCGAATTTCTCGATCTTGAACTTTACCGCCATTACTTCTACCACGAACAATAACTTCTTACTATTTCACGTAAATAGTAACTGTATTTATGAACAGTAATCGTATTTGTGAATAGTATCGTACTTGTGAATAGTATCGTATTTTTGAACCGTACCGTACTCGTGAATAGTACCCGTCACCTTCAAAGGATAAATGATAAACTAACTTATTTTCTGATGTGGAGGATCCACCTTTGGTGGCAGCCACAGAACATACGATAAGTAGGTATATACAAGCACCCTAAGTTGGCTCTGATACCACTTATTGGGACAAACCCAGGGCCCAATAGAGCAGGGTCGTAGCAATACTAGAGCAAATGTAGAGATAAAATGATAGACACATATGTGGTTCGGCACTTGATTGCCTACGTTCACGGGCAAGGATAGAAGAATCCACTATGAGGAGAAAACTCTGGAGTTACAATCTCTCTCTTTACAAGGAGAAACTCTCTCTAATTTTTCTCTCACTCTCTTTTATATAAGAAGTTGTCTCTGGGATGAGTTTTTCTTAAAGATTTGAAGCCTATTTATAGTATTTTGAAAAATACTATGTATAATAAAATAATAATAAATTACTATACATTTACATTATAATAATGATGTGAGGTCCGTTCCTTTATCCAAAGTCAAAAAACTACTGCTGCATGTGGGCGGCTGGGCTTGGCTTTATTAGGCATCTTTCGGCTGACAATCTTCCACTTGAAGATTTGATTGAGTATCAATCATATCTTCACATCATTCTTTCTATCTTGCCATCTTCATGTTGCTTACGTCTCCGACAGACCACGGGAGGATCGACACCAAATAAATTTGTCAGGATTAACTGCTTTTGTTAAAAATTCGGCTAGGTTGTCTTTGGTGTGAATTTTCTACATATCAACCTGTGACTACCTATACTCCAACTTTCTTCTTTAGCATTGAGCTCCGCTTCACTCACAATTCTAGATGGAGTTAACAGAAAACAATAGTCAGATTTTTACGAGTAACTGGGCAAATATAGGGGAGCTTATTAACTAGAGAAAATAGAAGGCAAAGTACAATATGAAGACCGTAACTGGGCAAATATAGGGAGCTTACTAACATATATGAAGAAGGGGGAGAAGGCAAAGTACAATATGAGGTAAGAGGAGAGACTGTAAGTTATGAAAGACCAATTATATAGCTTCATGAATCGAGTTTGTCGGATTGCTTCGAGTTGGTGCCTAACCTACTGTAAGGCGATCTTGTCATAGCAGAAAGGAGATAACCATGGAATGAGAGGAGGAATAATGGAATATGATCCCTGTCTTTCACTTTGTATCCTCACTGGACTTTCCCGCGCCAGCTCATCTCCAACACCAAATCAAGAATAATCTCCTCTACGACCCTACTCTACTCCCATATCCTCTCACCACAATATAATCACTCCTTGCTCCTCCTTCCCCTCCCACCTCTCTCCTCCATGGAGCGCAAGAAACAAGCTACTACCGCCTCCCCCTTCCCCTCCCACCTCTCTCCTCCATGGAGCGCAAGAAACAAGCTACTACCGCCTCCCACCCCAGGGGCGCGTGTGAGAAGTTGTTCAATGCCTTCCAGCCGAAACTCCAACCCCTTCGCCGCCTCACTCTCCGTCAACAAGAAGCCAAGGCAGCCACTGCTGCAAGCCCTCTGCCGCCGCCTCTTCCTCAGCCAGCTCCACCACCAAAAGAGTTAACCCAACACGGTCACAAGGCTAAGGATCACAAGGAGAAAAAACGGCCACTTCCATCTCCTGCCCCGCCCAAGGCGGAGCTGATGCCGGTGGGGACTGTGCCAGAGGCAGTCCCACCACCAGCAGCAAAGACTAAGAGGGGGATCAATGAGAGGGTGGATAGCTATATTGTTCGTACCAAGGAAAAAATAAGGAGTGGGTCTGGTCTGGGGAGGGTGTTCTCCTCTAAATGAAATGATATATGAAAATGCGTCTATGAAGAATATCTATACGTATAGCTACTGATGATTGCACGGTTTGGTCTTTCTTTTCGAGTATATATATTTGTATATTTTGTGAGAGACGTCCTTGCCGCAGGTTGGATCTGGGCGTACGTCTTATGTAAATCTTTGCTGATGCAGCTTTTGTGTGTGGTTGATTGGTGGGAATAAAACACATTTGTATCATAGTCTGTTCGATTAACAGTAAGTGTGATTTCTTCATGCACATATTACTTTCACCAAAATATATCTGTTTCATAGGATGTTCTGTTAACAGTATAAGTATGAATTTCATGCCTATATTGAAGTAGTTCGAGGCACGGCAGATGCAACATCTTGGGAAGATGGAGAAGACGAATGGCAACGGCGGAGAAGATCTTTGTTTGACGTGAAGACGTGAGTAGTGTTAGGGGCACACCATTAAACCACACTATCAACCACACCCCTCTCTATCTATAGTGTCTTTATGATTTTTTTAGTAAAACATGTGGGGCCCAACAAACGCTATAGATAGAGAGGAGTGTGGTTGATAGTATGGTTTAAGGGTGTGCCTCTAGTGTTTCTATTTGGGAAATGGACTACTGGCAGTAGAGGAGGAGATAACAGTGACATATTAAAGAAGGTAAGTGAGCTACAATCCTCATCATTGCTACAGTGGATTTGGATAAAGTATGATCATCTATTAGTACTTTGTAGATAATCATAGTTATATCATATATATTACTTTAATTTTCATTTATTGCACTCGTTCCCACTTTTCAATGAAGATGATTCATATTTTCAACTAAATAATACACAGTTGTAATTAAACCGAATTGTTTCTCCTGTAACTTTTTTGGTAGTCTGAAGAATCTAATCCTAAATGCAGTAGAAAGTCAAGTTTGTATCGTCTATTATTTTATGCATTTCCTATGATTATTACCCATAACTAGCAACAATGAGTTATGATAATATGTGTAGAATATAATTTAATATACTGTAGACATTAATATTTACATTTAAATGTATACATAGGACTAGTTGCATATTTTCAGATAGTGCTTCAGCGGATGGCCTTAATATAACTCAGATCCTCTATTGAAACATATTCCAAAATCATATCCTAATGCGTGCAATGCATATAAAATATGTGCCTGACGAATGTCAAAATAAGGGTTCAAGAAGCTTTGAAACCATCCCAAAGTAAAATAATTTACAAAAGGTGCGGATAGACTTGACAAATATCTAGAAGCGCATCCAAGAACAGTCATCTAATATGCCTGCTAGATACAGATATGGCTTCATACACAAGTGTTCATTCTGCATAATTCTAGGCACACTTGAAAATTCATGAGTACTTCTATGCGTACTCCTCATATAGTGCCTTCTAACAATTTTACCATGCTGCTACAATCACTGTGTTTGCACATTTTATGGCTTGTTTTTGTATTTGGGTGTACTGCATAATTGATCATCTTTGAGAGCACGTCGGTACCCTTTCTTTCGTGTGTGTGTGTGTCATTTTTCTTGTAATGTTGTTCAGAAGTTTAAATGTGGTTATTCACTCATCAACCATCTCAAGTCACTTTTCTAGATGTTGTGGAATAACTCAATGTTCAACCAAATGCTGAATATTTGACGTGAAATTTATATGCTGAGATAATGATTGTTAATGAGGAAACTCTCCTCGGGTGCTCAGGCCCCAATGCGCCTCCTAATATAACTGTGTAATTATGTCTTCTGTGACTTTGGCGACTATTACATGTAAAGAGTAACATTGCTTCAAACCCCTCCTAATATTCTTATTGATTTATGACATCATATATGATGGATTTTTTAATTTACTTTCATACCCCAGAGTAGGAGAGGGAAGTTATTTAACCTAGTTACCTGGTGGTACTTAATCCAGAAGTGTTTATACATGTTATTACAGTCTATCTTTTCTTGATACTTGGAAAACAGGCGTATTTTTAAGGATTTACATGCTTAATAATTTCATCTACATTCCTGAAATCATGGTTGATCGTATTGCATCAGTGATTATACAGGAAATTTTTTTTTTTTGGTGGTGGACGTTTTGGGATGGTAGACTAATTCTTGAGAATCTAATAAGCAGTCCAAAATGTTTACTTGGTCGAAAACCGTGAGTTGCACACATGAAGTCTCTTCCACTTGAGAGAAGCCCTGTTCCTCTATGAAGATTATAAAGTTATGTTGCTGAATAACTAAATCATGTGCTACATCAACACACGAGAAACAAATGTAGAAGTATTCTTCAGTATAGTGGATGTTGATATCGTTGATAAGTATTCAATACTTAAATGTGGTTGTCTTATTTCCTGGAGATTAGTATTCTGTACCCAGTGCACAGTACTACAGATTTGCCGATTTGGTATCTCTAAAGGGGCAGCTAAAAAAAATTTCCCTAGTAAATATCATAATCCTTGCACTAATTTCCACTTGTGATGAGTTACTTACTTTTCGCTTTATTGTCTTTCTAACTCATGTCAAAATTACCTTTTCATAGGTGGTTGAGATTTATATTTTTCCAGTGCTATTAGAGTGAAAGAAGATAAAGGTTTCAGGTTAGTGTACGTTCACAACATTAGCATGAGTATTTTTCCTACTCCTATTTCATCAGTTTGTACCTTGAATTTTGAAGAAGGACAGTAAGATATTAAGTTGTAGAGAACAAGAACAGAAACAATAACAGGCACTTTATTCCTAAATTTTGGAGCCAACTGCAAAAATCGTTTCAAATATGTAACTGGAACATACCAAAAGTATGCAATGTATATAAGATTTTTTATATAAAGAAAGTGATTATGATGAATTGTGTGCAACTCAGAAGATGCTTGACCACTATCTGGTGCCAAGATAGAACTATGTATTATTAAAAAAACTAAAAAAAAGCTCTCTGTTTTATTGGTGCAAAGCAGAGTTACTACCTTTTACATTTCTAATTAACTCGTGATAAACGAACATAAAAAAGTGACGGTAGTTTGTAGGTTTTGAAGATGAAGAGGGTAAAATTTTGAATATCTTGTAGGGTTTTTCCTACGTTATTGCTGCCTACCATCAGTACAAAACCTCTGATCTAAACAAAGTTTCCTGCTCAGGAGATCATTATGCTCTACGTTTCCTCCTGTTTAGGATGATCATGTTTTCACTTTACAGGTGACAAAGATGGGATGCTTGCTGGAGGATCAACTACTTCATTTGTGACTGTCATTGTAGTCAAGTGCAAAAAGAATTTCTTCTTTCTGAAAATTGATGATAGAACATATTCTTGCTTGCTTCAAGTCAAATTCTCTTCAGGAAGTTCTTACAGGCATGTCCTTTTTTAAGAGGGAATCAATTAACTCTTGCTGCATGCTACAATCTGCAGTGAAAATATCTATCATGCTACGAAAAAGATGGTATATAATCTTAAACCATTATTTCAAGAAGAATAACTTTTCTGCGTGCCTTTTTTATACCAAGCAGAAAATATCTATACTGTTCAATTGGTTATTCGAGGAAAAAGAGGATTAGTTCCAAATGATTGCTTTAGTCTGGTTTTTATTGCCATCTTTTATCTGGTTTTCGTAGGTCCAAAGGGTGATACTGATCTTGTATAGCCTTTATATGTAGTAGTCTGGCCTTAGAGTTTCGTGGGTGATCTTGATCTTATTCTTTCATCCAATTTTGTTAAGTGTCATGATGTGTCCTTTTTAATTCCATCCGACCAAGTTCTTTTAGCCTTGTTTCTAATCATCTTTTGTCGTAAGAACTATAAGCTTATCACTTCTCTTAACTGGTGCATCGGGAAAAGTTAGTAGTTCAGTGTAAAATGCGTTCCCAACTCGGACAACTACATAAGAAACTAAAACTTCCCTCCTTATCGAACAAAGCAAAGAGCATTTCACTTTTTATCATCTCATCGCAATGTATCTCCTCTTGCCCCTCATACCCTCTTAAGCAGCCTCCTTCCCTGCTGACGGAGAAGAAGATGAAGAGTGGGTTCGATGATAGGGTTGACGAGTATATTGATCGTACTAAGGGGACGATGAGGAGTGGTTCTAGTACTGGGAGGGTGCACAACTCTAATTGAAATGATGTGTAAAACTTGCATGTACGTATGAAGGACTGAACGGTTTCCGTTATGTAGCTATTGATGATTGTAAGGTTGATCTTTCTGTTTTTGAGTTTATTTGTATTGTATGCGATGTGAGAGATATCCTTCTGTCTCAGTTAGCATCTCAGCGTGTATATGTAACATAATTATGTTTGCAGATGCAGAGTTTGCACATTTGGTTGATTGGGGTGGGGTGGGGTGGGGTGGGGGGTGTTTCGAGGAACCAAACACAAACGCTGAGAGAGAAAGTCAAACAATGCAAAATAACAACACAAACACAAACAACCAATTTTACATGGTTCGGCAAGTTGCCTACGTCCATGGGGCAAGAAGAGAATGTAGTTTTCACTAATAATAGATGATGAGAGTACAAACTGAGATTATAAATCACTCAAAACAAACCAACTAATCTCACCAACAAAGCTCTCAATCTCTCAAATAATAACACTAACCAATGGCTCAGGAAAATCTCTCTTTTCTGTGCTCCAATAACCCCAAAAACAATCCCCACAACAGCTCCCCAAGAAACCCTAAAACGTGGTTACTATTTATATCAAACAACAATCCCAAACAGAACAGGAAACCGCAATCAGGCCCAAACCCGACTGGCGGTCGACCGCCGAAATCGTCGCGACCGCCGAAATCGTCGCGGTCGACTGGACAGAACGGCAGAAACTAAAAAAATGCATTACAGGGTCCGCGGTCGACCACACTTGACGTCGTAGTCTACCAGCCAGAAAACCAAAAAACACCCTGTAGTCGTGCACGTTTGCAGTCGACCGTGCCAAAGCTGTCGGTCGACCGGTAAGCACCCAAATGTCTGTCTGCATCAAATTTCCTGATCTTCTCCAATGTTTTCACCGTTTCTACAATTCTCCACCTCGGCGAAGTTTTCTCAAAACTGAATCGACACCAACCAAACCAAATGTTCCACTTGTTACGTCCAGTACGAAGTGAAACAAATTCACGACAACGGACTCAATCCACAACAAGTCAAGAACCCAAACGAGAATGCGAACAAACTCCAAATGTCGGTATCAACTCACCAAACCGACTGCATCATAAATGACTGCCTACGTATCCTCTTGCCTAAGAAATCAAGTCTTCACATAGTTCACCAAAATGGCATCCAGAGGCCCTCAATCCAATAAAAAAGTTCTTAATTTTTCACCAATAAATCTGCGGCTGATAGCTCTCCCAATAGCCCCAAAGTGAAACAAACCAAACACCTCCACCTGAGGTGAACCAACGACCATATCCAAATCCAAACTATGTCCACCACGTGCACTCGAATTAACCAACTCATCATCTGTATCCACATCAACATGATCCCCAATTTGTGTCACCTCAGCTGGAATTCCAAATGATACAGAATGATCTGGAGTACGTGGAGTAATTTCCACCTAATGTGGAGTAGCATCACCCTCCATCCGTTGTGATATCCTAACGATCTGATCAACACTATCCACCTACCGAGAGTCAAATGTGACATACCTACTCAGAACAAAATCATAAGTCAATACCTGATAATCAAACACGCCTCTGAATCTCAAATGTGCACTCGGATCAAATTTTACATCCCCGATGTGATAATATGCTGGGCGACTAAACATCCGAAGCAACCCAATATCTGAAGCAGCTTCACCAGATCCAAAATCTCTAAACGCAGCAGTCGGCAACCTATGACTAAAATAACCCAAATATGTCGAAGCCCGAACACCAAAACCAATGCTCAACATCAAACGTCGATTCTTCTCCAGTAAGGAACGACCCATCAAAACTGTCATCTCATCTCATCGTCCTAATGTTTCCTCTCTAATGAAGTGTCTCAAACTATCGTGAGCTCGACAAAAATACAGAAAAGAACCTTTACCAAAAACAGAACAATATGTTACCTTTCTGCCAATACACTTCCTACATCTGTTGTTGACTAATATGACTTCATACCAACGGGACTTGGTTACAACCCACAAATATCTAGAACAGTCCCCAACACAGGAAACCAAATACCTATTATCTCCCAATGATGCCTTCTTAGAAGGCCCCCAAATGCCTGAATGAACACCACCTAGAAGACCCTTTGCTCGGTGAATAGAAGTGCCAAACTCCACATCGGACTTCTTGCTCATACCAATGTGCTCATAGGACTTCAAATTGCAGGTCAAAGCACTCCTCAATAATCCATGCACGACACCAATAATCGAATAACTCAGCCTCAACAAACGTCACAGTCTAGCCAAATCCAAAGAACTCGTCAGCTCTTTACCAATCATCGTGCTTCCAATCAAATTATATAAATTCTTCCTCCTGATGCCCTTCATCACAATCATAGACCCAAATGTAACCTTCAGAGATGCATCCTCTAAGGCCACCCTATAGTTTGTTGCCTCCAAAACTCCAAGTGAAATGATGTTCTTGTTCAATTGAGAAACGAACCTTATTTTATCCAACTCCCAAATCACTCCGTCACACATCCTAATATGAACGATACTGATACCACCAATAGGACATTCATGATCATTACCCATGAGCATAACATCCCTTCTTTCTAACTCCTGAAAGCTGGAGTACCAATCCCTTCTAGGGCAAATATGGTAAGAAGCACATGAATCCAATATTCACTCTGTAGAGTTTGCAATACAAATTGACAGTAGTGCAGGGCATGAATAGCCCAAAGAATTTGAATCTTAATTATCGTCACTAGCCTTGACAATATTCATCTCTGAAGCTTGAATAGCTTTCTTCTTATTCTTCTCGGCTCGATCAACCAACTTTGGACATTTGGCTTTCCAATGTCCATCCTCTTTACAAAAGGCACACTAATTCCTACGAACTCCAGGATGTGCCCCTATAGACTGCGACCTCCTATTTCAGTTTGAACTCTTTGCTCTTGCAACTAATGCCCCCGTTACCGGCTCAATTGAAGCGTAATGACCGTGAATTTTGATACTAGTTAAATAATTTTTTTGGTATTTTAAAATATTAATTATTTTTTTAAAGAGTATTTGTATTTTTCTCGATTTTTTAGAATTTTCTATAATTTAAAAGTTCAAATTTTATATTTATTTAAATGATTTTGATATTTATAAATTAACTTAGTGCAGTAAAAATTTCTAGAATTAATCTGTTATGTTATCGATACGATTATGTATCATTTTGAATAATACGTTGTATTATTTTTACTATTACGTATTATTTCGTATAATATGTTGTATTATTATTACGTATTATTTTGTACAATTTGTTGTATTATTACTATTATTGTATATTATCTATAGTATTAGTATAACTGGTACATTTTATTATGTAAATAATTTTCTCATAGTTATTTGATTTTAAATGTAAGTAATTATATTTTTTATTAATTATTCTCGTTTAATTGTATAATTAGTTGTATTATTTCTACTATTGTACATTATCTGTTGTATTAGTATAACTAGTACGTTTTATTGTATAGATAATTTTCCCAAAATTATTTGATTTTAAATGTAAGTAATTATATTTTTTTATTAATTATTCTCGTTTAATTGTATAATTAGTTGTATTATTTCTACTATTGCGTATTATCTATTATATTAGTATAACTGGTACGTTTTATTTTATAAATAATTTTCCTATAATTATTTGATTTAAAATATAATTAATTATATTTTTTATTAATTATTTTCCTTAAATATCTAAACCCTAACCCTATATATATATATATATATATATATCCTCTTGTTCACGTTTTAACAGACACCCATGCAAGCAGGAGTTGATAAACAGTTCTTGCGTTTATTTTCAAGAGAGCTGTAATTTTTATTTTTGTTATTTGAATTCATTTGTAAATGCTTGAAGTTTTAATGAAATCGATAATGAAGACGACTTTCGACGAAAACACTCCCCAACTCAGATCGGCACCATCGAACCCATTGCCGATGTCACCGACAGCCGCAACAACCCCCGCTGCTCCGTTCACGCCCACGAACCCGAGGCAAGATCTCACCTCTCAATTAGAGTTTTTATACCTATTATTAATTAAGTGCATAGAATAGATATGATATAACGTGTATATTGTGATTATTGGTGTGGATTCGTTTGATGAATAGTATTAGATAATATTTACATAATAACAATGAGATGATTTCTTCTATAAATATATCTATGAATTAATGAACATGAAATGACAAGTTTATATGTTATA